AATGTCAACAAGCGTTTTCATTGTGGACTATCAACGTGTATTTTTTTATTTGACGTTTTTCTCTCATTCAACAGATTTAAAGTCAACGAATAGTAGACATGGTTGAGTGGCTAATACTAAAACATATTTCGACATTAATTATTGCCTCTGTTTATGCGTTAAACAAGTCAAAAACGCACAAATAGACCATGTTAAGAAAATCGTAGTTATGATATATTGATATGTTATATTTGTTTGCAAACTAACCCAATGTCCAATAATTGCAATGATAAGGTACGTCGCACATTAATTGTATATAACGGCTAAGCAAGAGGTGTTATGATTCATTGCACGATATAGTAGAGCGTCCCCGATGGGAGGAAGGGGAGCTAGACACATTTAATACTAATTATTTCGTTAATAAGGCATATACATGTAATCTGCTTGGTAGGTGAAGGGGGCTACTATAAGTGGGACTCGGCTAACTAAAATTTCTTTTTAAAATTTTGGAACAACATCATTGCATGAACTGTAATTGCACAAAGTGCATATGCACCGAAGCATATGTTGATGGTAGCTACAGCGTGGAAACCATCGTAAAAACAAAAGATGTCTATCGTGCGATGGAAACAGCTGAGTAGTATGCTTTCATCTATACATTAGTATACGGACACAAACGGAATACCTACAATACGGTGCGTGTCATTATGGTATTGGACTGGCAATATGATATCCGCAACGTCCGTGTCAAATCATTATAGTGGCCGCATATTTTGAAAAATAAAATAAAACAAAGCGCATGTCCATAACACCAACTCCTAGTGAAGCGACGGTATACAACCAACCACTGTCACAAATACAGATGGCAATAACTACAATCTAGCGAATATTAGGTGGCACGGTACGTCACTGGCTTCCATGGGAGCAACTGGTAATACAAATATACCGTGTTTCGGTGTACTCATGGGGAATCAAGTTCGTTCCGGACACATCGTGACACCAGAACACCACTGCCATGATTTACATATGAAAATTAATAATAATATTCAACAGGTCACGCAATATACAATTGTCATCACGTAAAATGACGATTTCGGTCAATTTTGAGAACTCTGCCGTCACATCACACACACGTCAGTGTTCGAACACATCTCATTCACACGGTGGGAATCGTAATTTGAGTTGTCATGACGCCAAACGCGAGATATTGTCCCGGAAATAACTGAATACACTCACCTCTGTATAACGCTGATGTGTGTAGACCGTCAACCACAACATTCAAATCACGTTAATTCATACGCAGATTTTATATACCACGTGATACACGGCTGGACGCTGATTGGCCGCCTGCGATCACTCATTATCTGTATGATCGCGCCATGTGTGCATACTTGTCATGGGATTTGATTGATGAACAAATGACCGTGATGACGCCAACACTGTTTAAATTGACTGTGTTGCTGCAGTAATGTCATATTCTAATCTATAATACTTTCCGTACATACTAATATTTTCTTTCTCTCACCGTTTCAATAAATTCTAATTTATGATATTTGCATATTGCCAAACGAATCTGTTACTGAATATATAATAACATTGTTATAACCACTTCGCGGTTGACAAACACACTCGAATAATAATCACAATTAATTTATCTATTTTATTTATTAACAAAATTTCGAAATACCAAAACTAGTGGAATGATTTCATTTTTAAACCGACATGTCGTTCTTATACACCCCGATCGTATGCATCTGTTTACTCCAATGGTGTTCACGTATTTTCCAATATATTCGCTACACCATGATATTATCAGTTTATTACAGAGTATTATAAATATAGTCAGTTCCCGATATCAGTATTATTCGAAAATAGATAATTATGTTTTTTTGTCTGTTAGTTATTAATCAATCAGTTAGCCATTATGTCGGTATCATTTTTTATCATCTGTCGAAATAAAAATACAATATATTCGTTATCACATGTGATGTACATGTAGTAATTGAGTGTCGATTGTTTGATTATTACGTGGCCACCTGTTATCTATTTAAATCAAGGACAAACCATTTTAGGAATCTAAATACGCTTTTAAAAGTATACAATTGATACATTAACATTGCATTGCAATAAACTCAATATGTTGGCGACATATGTCAGGATTGCCCACCATATTGTGTAGTATTTCAAACAAATTCCACCAAAAACTGCAATTGCTCTCTCATTAAAAAAGTCCAGTGATAAATATAAAGTCAGGAAAAGCGCAGTCCATAGACTGGCTCAAGTCGAGGCGAGTTTTTAAAATATTACAATTGGTGTAATTTTCAATTAAAAAAATATTTCCTTGGTGCAATTTTCAATTAAAAAAAATATTTTCTACTCTCATCGCGAAATCCCCGCTGAGTGATGATTTTCCGATGAGTGAGGTATTTTGCAGAATTTTTTTTTAATTACTTGAGACAGGACAAATCTCCCCGACTGTAGCCAGTCTACGCAACGTACAGTACCTCTTGAGATGATCGGATAACATGAGTGACTCGCTCTGAGGAACAGCTAGCTTGTGTATATCAACTACTCAGCCAACACCCAATTAGAGTTCACCTTACTTATTTACTTGGTTGTTTACCAATGAAATTGCTACATGTATCATGATAGGCTGGATTCAAACAAAGTTCAGATGGTAATACATACAATTATACGCATGGAAAAAATTATCAGTAACGGCGTCACGACGCTTGTACCATTTATCGGCCGGTCATTGTACTCTGTTAATTGTTATGTCAAAAAAAAAACTAACGTGCTACGTTGCACGCATGTGTATGACGTATATACAAGGGTCACGTGTTGACATGTGTGTTACTGGGATTCGGAATAGGGGATGTTAATACGGAGAAATGAAAGATATATGAGGCAGATGTCTGTCCTTATTGCTGTTGTTTTTGATTTTGTTGTTGTCATTGAACTTGTCTTTGTGGCTATGACAACTCAGTTTCTAGTCATCTTCAAATTTGGAAATGTTATCAATCCCCGTATAATGTCAAGGACTTTACCAACATCTATATATTCAAAATAACACGAAAATAAAATAAAATATCGAATAAATAATAAATGTTGAACCAGGTGTTAGTAATATGCTCGCCAAAATTCGTTACTATTCAGTAACCAGATATGTTATTTTCATTAAGTTGCATAAATAACCCATTTTCCCGCCAAAATAATGGTTAGAATTTCTCCGTCCAAATTTTGCTTATATATTTCACTGTACTATTATACAATTATATATAATTCTCGTTTATTATACCAATAAATGAACGACCACAACGCCATATTAGTTGAGGCGTCGATCTAACGTACAACAGACTCCAATTCAGTAGTTTTACATTTGCATTGCGATATACAATCAGTGCGTGTTACGTGTTTAATCAGCGATGATATCATTTTATATTCTGGCCTGTTTACACGTATGCTGCAAAACAAAAACGCGTATTATGGGTGGTTTTCAAACATATATACATCCTCCCTGCTCTATAGTCTGTTAATTTTGGTTAGTAGAAAAAAGAATTGAAGGATCCTTTTAATTTTCATTTTTTCTTCTCAGTTTCTCTACTATGACCTTATTCGGTTTCACGCGTTCAGCCCGTTCTCGTTACTACGCTCTCTCCACCCTTTCCCGATCTTTCAACTTAACCCTTTCCCGGACATATTTTTTTAAATCTTCAAATCTCATAGTACAAATATACACCAATATTCCTTATGGCTAGCATGGCTATGATTTCACCACCTTCTTTTTCGGAATCAGGAGCATCGACATGGAGAATTAGGCAAATTAACAACAGCTGCCAATTTATTTTGAAACAACAGTGTGTGCAACAATCTTCGTTATGAGCACCTGCATACGATATTGCTTACGAAATAAATAAATAAACAGTCAGACAGGCAGCTTACGTAAATTTATACAACCAGGGCTATTAAAATATCCAGTAGGGGAGGGTCGAATGCTCTATCTGTTTATTGTGGACATGAGCATTTGAGATTATCGCATTGTGTAGGAATACTATATCCGTTTGTACAATGTAGTCATACATGCGTTTAGTTTTCGAACACTTAAACACGTCCCACCACTGCCTCCATTGTCAAGTGCTTCGAAAATATGATATATTCACAAATAATTCCCATCTTGTGACCAACCAAATAACGGAACTTAAATACATTTATGGGTTACATAACACAAGATGAGTGTTACGAGAGATTGTTATATAAACCAGTTCATACACAGATGCAAGGGGTGCGTTCAAATAAACATTTACTATAAACAAAAATACACAGTGATACAGACGTGAAATCAACCGAACATTAGCCAACCATTATGGTAGCTATGTCGACTGACAAATGTCCAAGTACATTGTATGAACATAATGATTAAAACATTTTCTTATGTCATTAATGGTGACCTCATTGATCTTGTTCATTTTTGGCCAGAAATGTTACTTTACATTCATTTAAATACCAGCATTTACATTACTGTCGATTTCCCCCTTTTTGTACTATATGATTCGGACAGAATTTGACGATTTTCCACCTACATTTTAGCCAGTATTTTCTCGCCAAATTTATAATATTTGGAATCATATTGAATTTGTCCTGTCCTTTGTTAGTAGTATTTGAAACAGTCTATGCTGGCTTGTTTGCTTTGAAACTTTTTAAAATGGTGGGCCGAGGAGGCAAGGTTTATTCATGTTCATGCAATCCAATTGTAATTTTCGGTTATTAGGCCAGAGATGAAATGTCAGGTAGTCTAACATTTAGAAAACATGTACTCTTAGGTTTTCATATTAAGAATATTTCAAATATGTAAATTACAATGCATATGTATCTATATAATTTCCCAATTTATTTTTATGGATAGCTTGTGGGGAATTGATCACGATAGAGGAAGATCATAGGCCATTTGTAGGATCTTCTCATTTTGGGAATTAAATTAAAAAAACAACAACAAAAAAACAATTTTTTTTAAAAAGAGTAGAACTCCATTGCTTAAATGAAGTATTGCAATTTTAATTAATTATTTAGGTCATTGGAGAAATCGTTGAACACGATGTATTTGGGAACTATACGTTATACACGTTATGTCTTTACTGATTTATTTCCTCAAAGAATTAATATGCTCCTATTTCTATTTAAAATTACGATTTTTGTCAAAGAATTTGTTTCACTTTTTAGAGAATGTATTCACACTCTTCACTTCACACACATACGAACATAATTATTTTATTCAGCTCAAAATATAACTACAATTCTACACACTTGTTTAGATATATCGAGAAAATTGAGCGAATAGATCGTTTCGGTTAAACAGTTAATGCCTCTACCATTTTACCTTTTTAGTATTGTTTCGTGTAACGGTTTGTTACATTGTATTTGGTACATATGTCTGAAATTCTTTTGTGAATAACATATGTATTATGAATGCATAAAATGAAAAATCAATTATTGCCGAGTTGTGATAATCATTTTTCAATCATTTTTTTTACAGGGTAGCTCTATAGATAATCTTCCAACAGATTGGTGCTACCCTGGAAAAATCAATAATCCG